GCCTCACCTCCTTTATAAAGTGTTTAATAGTGTTTAAAGGTGTTTAAAAGTGTTTAAAAGTGTTCTTAGAATGATTTTAGTAACTAGTGAGGAGAATTGTGAATGTTAGTGAGATTACACTTTGTTTTCATGAGATTTAGAGTGTTTTAGAAAGTTTTGCTTGTAGCTTATGGTCGGCTACTACTAACAAAGCATCCTTGAGCAATTTTGTCAAACAATCCTTTATTTATTTCTCTTGCAACTTGTTAGATTCTCATTTGGGCATAGTGTAGTGGAATTTATGTAGTATAATGCCTCTTAACTTCAATTCTAGTAGAGACCTTGTTAGATCTAAATAGCTAAAGGATAGTTGCAAACTTATTTAAATCTTGGGAGTTACGAATAAAGCACCACATTTTCTTGGCTGGGAAAAGTCTTAAGTGAGCAAGATTTCCTAAATCTTGTTATAGGGATGGGAATTGTGTGTGCATCAAATTAAAGGGCCCATGTGGTCCTTAGATATTTTTCTGGATCACTAATACTTTAATTGACTTTGTGCTTTTGCATTTTTGAAGGAATTATGAGTGTTAGTGAGATTTCACTTGGTTTTTCATGATCTTTAGAATGTTTTGGAAAGTTTTGTTTGTAGCTCACGATTGGCCACTAGCAATAAGGCATCCCTAAGCAATTTCATTAAGTAATCATTTGTTTATTTCTCTTGTAGCTTGCTAGATTCTTATAAAAAAGTATATAGACTTTAAGAGTAAAGAGATATGGGGAGCCAAAGGTGGTAGTGAACAAGCAAGAAGTTGAAAAGAAATGAGATGAAAAAATGGTTGTATAGAAATAATTTCCTTAGATACAAAGATTCTCAAAATGCAAGGTGAGAAGGAATTTGCAAGGCTAGCAAAAGAGAATAGCTAAAGGAAGCCAAGTGAAGCTAAAATGGCTAATAAAGAACTTATGGAGAATGTTATAATAATAAAAGAAGTAACATGTACCACCTGAGGAAGGGGGAATAGTAAAACTCACCCTAATTGGCCACGTCACTAATAGATATTTTTCCATATAGCCAATTGCACAGAGAATTTCTTCACTAACTTTAACACTTTTAAATGCCTTTAAACACTTTAGAAAGGTTAGTTTAACCCTTCTCACCCTCTTTTTTATATCCAACTTTCCCACCAATTTATTTTAAATCTTTGCTATCTTTTAGTGTAGATTCTCCTCCCAGAACTCTTAGGGAATATTTGTGCATCTCCACATTACATATTAAATACCATGTCAATTGAACATGATTTCCACTCTTACCAAAGTTTAGTTGAAACAAATTTTTGGATGCTAGATTTGGTGGGGTGGTAGGGATTGCTACTATAGTTGTGGCAAATGGTAGATGGAGGAAAGTTAGTGTTACAGAGGGAATCCACATGATTTTTCCTCCAATGTGCTCATTGAGGAGGTTCATAGAGTCCTTAGCAGCGACATGAGGACTACAATATCTTTGAAGGGGGAGCCAGCGAACAAACTTAGTATATTAAACACAAGATTAAGCTAATTGAATTTCTGATAGAATAGGCCAGTATATTCACACATATTCCAAATATACCCAACAAAGGAGTTTTTTCTTGGCTCTACTAGAAAATTCTCGGCCACTTTGAAGAGGAGCTCTTGCTGCGGCTGTTGCTGCTGCTCGTTCCACACTCACTCCCTGTCCTGATCGACAGAGCTTGCAAAAACCTGGAAGCCAAGTCACCGCCACCACCACCATTCCTTCCGGCAACACTGGAGCTCATAGCTTGGCATGCGTGATCCGCCGGGAACCTGTGCTTCATGCAGGTGTTCTTGCTACAGACCTTGCAATGGAACTTGTTGGAGAAGGTGAGAACCTCTTTGCATCCTCGCACGGAGCACTTTGGTTTCTTCATCACGCGGTCGTAGTTGCTTGGGTCGCAAGACGTTTGGAGGTGTCTCTCGATTGTGGAATTGGGATCCTCGCCCGCCACCGTCTTGACGCCCGAGGCACAAAAGGGGCAAACGATCACTGTCGAGTCCTTGGCGCCCGCCTTGGGGCATTCGTGAGCTGTGTAGGATCGATGATCCAAGCAAAACACCTAGAAGAAGAGAATTTGTTTGGAATCCCCTGATCTAGGAAGCAAGAGAATTTTACCTGTGAGCAGGCATCGCATTTGAAGGGCAGGAAATCGAGCTGCCCACACGAGGAATGGCTGCAGTGCTTGCCGAGATTTGGAAACGCCTCCGTGCCCCCCATAGAAATGATGCAAATGAAGAACCCTAAATCGCGACAGTACTTTTGTAAGTATACCTTTCACGCGGTTAAGCTCGGCTTCTTGGAAGCATCGCAAAAACCATTTCTTTGAAACTTTCTCTACTCGAACATACGAGGAGCGTCTAGAAAAATCGCTAGATTTGCACGTAATCGAGTTTATGCTCTCACATTGTTCTCTTTGCCTCTGAGCTTGTCTGGAAAAAAAAAAACAAAGAAAACAGAGTTAGCTGATCGAACCGGAGAGATTCATCCACATACCAGACTGGGCGAGAACCGCGGACCATCCCTGAAGCTTGTACCTCGGAGGCTTTTTGTTCTGGAAATCCACCTGCGACTCGGCAAGCTGGGCTTTGTTCATCGATGGCTGCATCGTTGCCTTCTTCCTCACCACCGGGATCACCACTCTGCGCTCTTCCAAGTTTGGCTTCCTCGTTGGTATGCATATAGTGGCTTTCTTCCCATCCTCGGCAGCTCTCTCGTCGGCTTTGATCATCGTCGCTTGAGGAGCATGTCTTCCTTTCCACTTTGGTGACAAACTTTGCTCCACCACTGCTGCGCGTCGGCTTCCCTTCCATGGTGGCGACGAAGTTTGCTCGTGAGTGATTGCTGCCTGTTGAGCGTGAAAAGCCCGTTCTCTTCCTGTTGGCGACGATGGTTGCCCGCACCCTGCTGTTGCTGTGGCGAGCTGAGCGAGTCGGCCTTTCCCTGTTGGCGATGAAGATTGGTCGCAAGCTTGGATGTGTCGTTCTCTCCAAGTTGGCGACGGAGGTTTCTCTAGTGGAATGTTGTGTCGCCCCTTCCACGCTGGCGAAGAAGGCTGCTCGGCTGCTGCGGCGAGCAGAGCGTGTCGTCCTCCTCTCCATGTCGGGGATGAGGATTGCTCGTGAAGCCTGGATTTCTTGAAGGGGCCCCGGGAGACGGCTCTTTTCCCTTGCATTTCCGACTCAAAGAGTGGATTCTCTCTCCTGTCGAACTCGTCACCCGTTACCTCGCCTTCTCTAGTCGGCTCCTCCGTTGGTCTTTGATATGTGGATGGAAGCCTTCGTTTGTTTTCGGTGGCTTTTGCGGCCTGCGTCGTGTCAAGATGTTTACTGTCAGGAGGAGGTTTAGCTTGGTTGGGACCTTGCAGCTGGAGAGGCCTTGCGGCAGAGACTTTCTTTGATATGGTGCAAGCTCGTCGCTTCAGAAACGTAGGAACTTCCCGAGGCTGCAAAAAGATGGTTGTAATTGTTTGTTTTCATGGAAATGTCAAATGTTTCTTGCCTTAGGCGGGGTACCATTATGGTGACTCGGTCGATCTTCGATCTGTCGAGTCGATCCCCCATCGGCAGGCTCAATGTTGTCCGTAAGAGCGGGAGGAGGCTTTGCTGAAAGCAGCGTATTGTTAGAAAAAAAGAACAAATTATTAAAAAAAAACATTTTTTCACCTTCAATAACAAGCTTTTTACTTTCATCGTCGCTCGCAGGTAGACTCACAATCGGAGCTTTGCATTCTTGGATTGAGAGCAGCTTTTGGACAAGAACCTGCGCACACAAGTTCGAAAATGAAAAAGTCAGGCTACTCAAGTCATACGTACCACGAGGTTTGTAAGTTCTCTTGTTGCAGAGATTCGAAACTCGTTGAGCTCGTGGATAACGTTTTGCTGGTACTGTACATGCTTTTGCAACTCCTGAAAGAGATGGAAAAATATACAAGAATTCTCGGGCGGCAAAAAGTTCAAAGTACCTGGACAAAAGTTTGATTCGTAGCAAGAGCGGTTGACTTTTGGCTTGCGAGAACCATGTTGAGCAACTTGACATCGTCCTTCTCTGGCTTCTTCTTGTTCTTCTGTCCAAGCTGCAATTTCATCCTCTTTTTAACTTTCTTACGCTTGCGCTGCTGCTTTTCTTTTGCCAAGGCCATCTCGGACCACGCCTTTTGCATTTCAGTCTCCAGGTATTGCAAAAGATTGGGGCTCCCCCTCAGAAACTGCATATCACAAGCCAGGTCTGGCTTGTTTTTCATGGTAGGAGGTGTCGACGTCGTCTTCTGCGAAAGCTGCTGCGTTTGAAGTGACTCTAACCGGCGGATGTCCTCGTCGAAATTGTTATCCCCGTCGTCACCATCGTCATCGTCATCGCCACTGCTTGAGGTCGAACAGTTGCTTAAGATATGGCTCTTCTTCAACGCCAAAAAGTCTGCATTGCAACGATCGAAGCATGTCAAAACCACGAAGAAAATACAAAGAAAAGATCGAATGCCAAAAAAAGGAGAAAATGCGCACTACCTCTACGAACTTTGATCCTGTGCATTGCTAACTTGGCAGCTACATCGCCATCTTCACTCCCGAAAGCTTCTTCTACCTCCACACTCCGACCTGTAGAACCCGTGTAAAGAAAAAATCATGAGAACCGCTAGGATGAATTACCAGAAGAAGTTTTTGTTGGCCGAGACCAGTCTTTAGATTTAAACGCCTTAGATCTTGCTTCCTAAGAGAAGAATTCTTATTCAGGTGAAAGACGAGAGAAAGAAACGAACCAGTTCCGCAGCTGTGAGCTTGAGCGTCTTGAGATCGCGCACAGTGTTCTAGGTAGAACAAAAGAGCAGGATTTTCAAAGCGAAACAAAGATTTTCAAGCTACTTACGTCCCAATCCGGCCGGTGCTTGCGCGGCACAGAAGATCGCACATAGATCCCACCCGCGGCGCCTCGAATCACCATAATGCCACATCGGCCGAGAGCCCTAGTTCTTGTTCTTCCATTCCCTGCGCCAAGAGCGCCAAGAACACTCTTAACGGTGAAAATATTTCCAACTCAAACTATACTTTTAGGGCTCTTCAAATGCCTGGGGAAATCGAGCGATGGCGCGGCTCCAATGCGCTGCCAATAGCCGTGGATTCCTCTTCCAAGGCAAGTGTGAGCTCCATTCTGGCGGATTTGAAGGCCTCCAGGAGATTGCGCGATCTCGAGCGGGGCAAGTCGGTTGCGGCCGATGCGTTCCGGCAAGGGATGGATTCCAATCTCTATGTTGCGAGCAGCCTCATCGGCTTGTACGCCAAGTGTGGAAGGATGATCGAGGCGCAGCGCGTGTTTGACGCCATGGAGCATCGCGATCTCGTGGCCTGGAATGCGCTCATCCTGGGGTACGCTTGCAATGGGGAGTGTGAGACCTCGCTCGAGCTCTTCTCGCGCCTGTGTAGCAGCACAGAGGTAAATAGCTGCGTCCCGGATTCTTGGAGCTTCCTTGCCGCGCTTAAAGCTTGTGTGCTCTTGACAGGACGCATGGAAGAACACGATGGAAAGCTTGGAGTTTTGGAGAAGTCCATGGCCTTGCATTGCCGGATTGCGAGCAACGGCTGCGAGGAGATCATCGTGGCCAACACCTTGATCGATTTGTATGCCAAGTGTGGAAGCATGCCAGATGCTCGAAGAGTCTTCGATGGATTGGAGCATCGAGACGTTGTCTCGTGGACAGCCTTGCTGCTCGGGTACGTCGAAAACGGGCAAGGCAATGCTGCTCTTGAGTTGCTACCGATGATGGAATCTCACGAGTGTTTTCCAGATGCCCGGCTCTTCGTCGCCGCGATCAAAGCTTGCAGCAGCCTTGCGGCGAGCGAACAAGGGAGGCAAGTCGACGGCATGGTCGTGAGCATGGCGGCCCTGGAGAAAGGCATGGCTGTCCACTCCAGGAGCAAGCTCCACGAGTCGAGCAACATCTACGTTGGAAGCAGCCTTGTGGACATGTACGCGAAGTGTGGCAGCATGGCGGATGCCTCTCGTGTGTTTGGACGGATGAAGCAGCGAGACGTGATCTCCTGGAACGCTTTGATTCTCGGGTACGCGGAGAACGGCGAAGCCGAGAGAGCTCTGGAGCTCTTCGTGGCGATGCAAGCCGGTGGCTGCCCTCCAGATTCCCGGACGTTCGTCGCCGCTCTGAAAGCTTGCTCCAGGCTCGCAGTGACGGCCGACTTTGGCGACCAGAGGCACGGCAAGATGGAAGTGTTGGAGAAGAGCATGGCGTTGCACTCTCAGGCTCGGAAAGCTGGCGGCTGCGATTCGAGTCTATACGTCGGAAGCAGCTTGGTGGACGTGTACTCCAAGTGTGCCAGCATGGGAGACGCTTCGTCCGTGTTTGAGAAGATGGCGCAGCGGAATGTGGTCGCGTGGACAGCTCTGATACTCGGCTATGCCGATAACGGGCAGGAGAGGCTGGCGCTGGAAACGTTTCGGTGCCTGCGGGGCGGAGGCGTGGTGCCGAATGCCTTGACGTACGTCGCTTGTCTCAAGGCTTGCAGCGGCCTTGCGAGCGACGAGGAGACCAGAGAACTTGACGGGAAGCTCGTGAAGATGGTGTCCTTGGAGAATGCTCTGGCCGTTCACTCGCAAGCTGCGAGAGACAACTGCGACAGGGATATGTTGGTGGCGAGCAGATTGATCGATGCTTACGCCGAGAGCCAGAGCATGGATGACGCTGCGAGGGTGTTTGCCGGGATGCCGGACCGGGACGCGGTGGCCTGGAACGAGCTTATGCTGGGGTACGTTGAGAACGGTGACGGGGAGCTGGCTCTGGAGGCGTTCACGGGCATGAGACGAGACGGCTGTGTTCCAAACGCTGGGACCTTTGTCGCTGCTCTGAAAGCTTGCATCAGGATCTCGGCGAAAGAAGAGTGGCAGAAAGTTGACGGGTCGGGCGTGAAGCTGCGAAGTCTCGAGACGGGCATGGCGATACACTCTCACGCCGCGGCTCAAAGTCTCGACTCGGACGTGTACGTCGCGAACACCTTGCTCGACATGTACGCCAACTGCGGTGGAATGCTGGAAGCCGAGAGAGTCTTCGGCGACATGCCACGCCCCGGGGTGGTCTCCTGGACGGCTCTGATATCCGGATACACCGAGAACGGGCAAGGCAGGGTGGCGCTGGAGCTTCTCTCTCGGATGGAGACCCAAGGCTGCCAACCGGACGCTCGGACGCTTGCGATCGCGTTGAAGGCCTGCGGCAGTGTCGGGGCTCTGGAAGCTGGCATGGCGATCCACGGCGACGTCTGCAAGCGGGGGCTCGAGAGCGATACAGTGGTGGTGACTTGCTTGATAGATTTCTACGCCAAGTGTGGGAGCATGGCTTCCTCCCAGCAGGTGTTTGATGCGCTTGCTTCCAGAGACGCAGTGGCCTGGACTGCATTGCTCGCCGGGTACAGCCGCGGAGGGGACGCCGCTCTGGTGTTCGAGACCTTCCACGAGATGGTCGACGAAGGTGTCAAAGTCTGCGGCATGGGATTTCAATGCCTTCTGGCCGTGTGCAGTCATTCCGGCCTGGTCGACACTGGGAGGCTCTGCTTCGACGCGATGCAGTCCAAGTACAAGGTGAGGCCCGGCCGCGAGCACTACCACTGCGTCATCGATCTTCTCAGCCGGGCCAACCAGCTCGAGGAAGCTCTGGATATGGTGGAAGCTATGCCTTTCGAGCCAACGTTTGTTACGTGGACGACGGTGCTGAGTGCTTGGACTCGGATCCAAGTTAACATTCTAAAGTTCTCTCCTGGCTGAAGGAACAAGAACTCGATCTTACAAGCTAGAAAACATAGGATAAGGCTACTACATCACCTCTTTCGACGCTTCTTCACCTCGGCGACAAGCTTGTTCACGTACATAATGTATCCATCCACATTGAACTTACGCTTGCAGCCTTCGTAGTTCATGTAACGTATCTTGCCAAATATTGGCCTCTCTTTCCAGCCCTGAAAAACAAGCCTGTGAGAAAGAGCCTGTGTATTTTGCTCGCACACCTGGTCATGAATGCCACATATGGACCACATACAACCAACGTAGCCATTTGGATCTCTTCCATCCAATTGATACTGCAACAAAGGCTTTCTCTATGAAGAACACAAAGAGAGGGGGTAAACAATACCTTGTCGTTGAAGTAAATCGCAATGGCCAAAGCGTCCTCGGGACTTTCCGTCCACTCCAGTATCTTCTTCGCCCAGTACATACTGCCAAAAAACAGTGCAAAAGGAGTCATAAATCGAGAACTACTTTGGAACATACCGCATAAAACCGTGCATTTTCCCACGATGAACCATCTCTAGCTGGGAAGCGTTCCATAGCTGTTCAGAAAAAAAATCAAAGAAAGAAACTAGTAGCCTGTTCATTGAATTCAAGTCCCTTACTTTATCTTTTGTCTTCCCATCTTCAAGCTGCTGCCTCCTGGAAAAAAGAAGCACCAAATCTGTCTAAGCTGCAAGCTTTTGAAACGACCCTAGAGACAGCTTACGTGTAGATATGTTCTCTTTTATCATTCGCATGCTCAAGCAAGGAGTTCCGGGCCCATTCCCACGCTCCCTGGATGTTGTCATAATTCGGTTGATAGTAGCAAAAATTGTCAGACAGCTCCCGCCTGATTATTAGTTCCTCCAGAAACGAATCCACAGACTGGGAAAAAAGGAAGAAGGAATCAAGACAACGAAGCCATCAAAAGATTTTGAACGAACCTGCATATGTAGCTTACGAGCTTTTCGAACCTCAAATGCGCAGCGTTGAGGAGAAAGCTGGCCGTAGTGAAAGTAAGGGGAGAGGTCTGATAAACGTTCAAGTTTGGACGGGTCATTTCTCTCAGCGCTGTAACGTTGAAGTCTAGAGGACAAAAAAACCGCTAACCGTTCAAGAGCTATATCTTCGCCTGGTTCACACCAGTCGACTTCAGGAACTTCGTCACCAGCTCTGTTACATCGCAGAGAAAATGTCAGCGAGACCTTTTCTTGACGTCGTTACCTTAGAACTTCATCTATAAGAGAATCCCAATCGATCTTCTCTTGTGCCACCCCAGGCCAAGGCTTTGAGAAAGGCTCGAGCGTTGGAAAGTCCACCAAAAACTCTGGAAGCTGCCTCTGGATTTTCAATCTGATAGTACGAGCAGCGTATTCCAGTTTGTCCGAGGCAATCCAAACGGGAACAACATTATGAGCATCTACCTCGTGGACGGCGGTGGTAGTGTCTGCCCCGAGTCTGCTTACAACACCAGTTCTCCAGGTTCGACCAATCCTCAGAGAAGAAAAATCAAGTACGAGGATGGACGCGTTGCATGCCTCGACAAATGAGGGAATCGTGTCTTCTGGTCGACCCTGCAGAGTTAAAACCATGGAAACGTGAAAACAAAGAGAGAGAGATCTAAAGCACCATTCCAGGCATGGAAACAAGAAAGTTCTCAAGAAAAACAAAGGATTACCCGTAGCAAGAAAAAAGCGATGCCAAGCTTGTCGAGGTTCTTCTCCACAACGCGCAGGCCCCGAAGAAGAAATCCAAAATGCCGGGCTTTGGCTTCCAGAAAGCTCTCCACCAAATTAAACACCACGGCCACTGGGGTATCTCTCTTCCTGGCCTGCTCGGCCGCGTAGAGCAAAGCCCAGTTATCCCTGGATCGCTGATCCCTCGACATCCAATACACCACAGGACCGCTGTGAGATTCATCCCCTTGCCTTAACACGCGCACTCTCCTGGGATTCACACCGATCGACGATCTCAATCCCTCGCCTAGGAATCCACCGCCATCGGCGTCCAATTTCGGCTTCTTGGCTCCGGCGGCAGCAGCATCCAAGGCGCCAGCGACCTCCTTCTTACCCGAGAGCTGTGACATTTTCTTCTTGCCGCCTACATTCCAGGAGCCAAGCGCATACCTTGAGAACTTAGGGCTCTTGCGGATGGACACACGTGGCAGGCTCTCAGCCCTTCGCGCCATGCTTAGCCTTTCATATTCGCGCCAAACATAAACCACTACCTTAAAGGCTTTGCTTAACGAGTACGCTCCTGCAAAGTTTGGTTTTGATTCTGCTGCTGCTGCTGCTGCTGCTGCTGCCGTGAAGAATTTTGATTCTGCTGAGCCTGCCTCGCCAGGATTAACATGTTTTGGATCGCCAACTGGAGCGTCTCAGCGAAAGCAATGGTTCCTGACGTCATGTTCTCGAAGTTCTCGGCCGGAAATCCTCGGACCATTCTAGGGACTTCTGGAACCAGTTTTCCGGCCCAGCACCGCCCTGTTGGATGCCTTGCATTTGTTGGTCTTGTGTATGTTCTTCCACTGGCCGCCTCAGTCAAATTTAAGAAAAAAAAAAAGATTCCGTTAGGCCACGACTAGCAAGAACAGTGCTTCCACGAAGCGCTTCAAAAAGCTCACTCTGACGCACGAAATCGACCATCTTAGTAACTTACCTGAAGGTTAGTGCAGAGGTAAATCGCTGCATCCCGGACTCTTGGATCTTTCTAGGACGCATGGAGGACAACGGATGGCAAGGTTGGAGTTTTGGTGCTAAAGCACCCGCTGGAATGGTTTGCATCGGAATCGAGCAACAAGACTCCCCGGAATGGACTCCAGCCTGCTCGATGTGCTCCATGATCCCCCCTATAACCACGCCCTTGTTTCCATCCGCCAGGCAGTCCACATCGATCTCGGAGGAGTCTGTGAGATAGTTATACTTATACCACCAGCCTGGGTCAACTTCGACCGCTGTCTCCAGGTACTTCTTGAGCTTGTCGTTGCTGTAAGCAATCTCCATGGCCTGTCCACCAAGAACATTGGAAGGATGCATGGCTGGTAAGACATGTATGTGATAAATTAATGAAGCTAACACTTTATCACAGCTATAGCATGATTTACTTGCATGCTCACCTCTGCACTAATCAATTGCTATTTATATTAAGGTGTGCTCAAATAAGCTATAAGCAATGAGAGGCATTTATGAGAGCAATTTAAACACCATACTTACATTAAAGCACATTGCAATCAAATACATCTCCAAGTTTTGAGAATACGGAAAAATGGAGTGCCACAAATGATCATAATAATAAAAATCTAAGCTAAATGACACAAGAATGAAAACAAAAACTTCAAATCTATTATATAAAATAATATGGTATTAGTGTTTGTTGGCAAAGTGAGGTGTCATGCCCATGCATATATGGCATATCAAATATTATCCACACAATCACATTTTGATTACTTATATAGCAATCTAAAAGCATAATATTTTTGCATTAAGTTAAAAAACAATTCCACCAAAGGTTTAAGAGAAAAACAAATTCAATCTTTATAGCTTTTTTTTATCTAGGGCACTTTTGATTTAACAATATGTTACAGCCAGCTCTATCGACCTTGACTACAAGCATGACTGCTCATGTCTTGATATACAGCATGATCTCTAAGGCCCAGGACAAACAGTATTGAGGATGCTCAAGACCAGCTTGAGGGTAGCCTAGGGAAATGCTGCTTCTTGTTGTATATGCATTGGGGCCACCAATTGATCCTCTGTGTTTGCCAAGATCCAGTGCACCTCATTTGAAATCACAAGATCAATCTAAATACATTCTAGCCATTAGATCATTTAATTCTGTTAGAATATGCTTTGGCTGTTTAAGAAAATTATAACATATTTATAACTTAAACACAAAATAAATATAAATATATATTCAACTATTATACTATATGAGGTCTAAATGTATAGCTATAATGCCGTATATTAATATTAGTGTATGGCTACAATGCTATATACTAATATTAGCATAGTGGGATTTTGATGGCCATCAGACTGGTTTCAATCTAAACACTCCTATATATAAATTAAGGTTTTTGAGCTAATTGCATATTTTTATATTCCATTTTTATATTCTATGCAATCATATTGGTGGAAATGAAGGGCAACTTTGATTGTCCCTAAGGAGTGTTTGAATTTGAGATTTTGTTTTAGATCTAGCTTTTACATTGTCTAAATCTCCCTTTCCTTATAGCTTTTTCAATTTCTTCTTTTATTTTATTTTTTCCTTTTCATTTATTTATATGGCAGAGTAGTAGCCTCCTCCTCCTTTGACTCTAAAGCAATAATTAGTACAATTGCTTAATAGTATGCAGTTGTAGTTGAATAATCAGATTTGGTTAATAACAACATTCATGGCGTGTAGTACAACTTCTTTTACTCTTGCTGCTAATCTTTGTGTTTAGCTGAAATTCTTTCATGGGAATCTTGGGGATGATGTGTATCATTGGTTCGATCATTTTATGGTGATTGCCACATATCATTCTTGGGATGATACTTAACATTTATGTGAGTTTCCCATGTATTCTCAAGGGATAACATTGTAATAATACAATGGTTTGAGTGTAGCCACTTGTGAGGATTGGAACATTCTCCCAAATGATTTTAAATGCCTTTTGGACATGCTAACAATTGTGATGATGCTTTGTAATAATTGTATCATCTTCATTAAAGTCCATTTAAGTCAGTGATGCAATTTGATATTTGTTTCTGAAGTCTTTTACTTCATGCAAAACTAAATATGTTTAAGCGGATCAAATTGGGAATGTTATGACTAGCATTTCGTCAAAATTTTGTAAGACTTATGCATGCACTTGTTCTATCCACCCTTGATGATGCTTTTCACTTGGCACAACATTATTGTAAGCAACCAAAGAAAACAAAAGAGAAGAGAGATGATCCATAGGGTTTATTCATGTGAGACACAAAATCCCTAGGCCCCAAAGTGGAGCCGGAAAGGGTGCCATGTGGTAGTGGCCGAAGCAAAAGCCCAAACGGGTGTAACACGTTTGGACTAAAAGCTCTAACTTGGAAGGTCAAGAGCGGGAGTGGAACTCCCAACAAAGTGCTCAAGGAGCGAGCACGAAGCGAGCAATAAGCAAGGCTCCAAAAAGGGACCCAAAAAGAACCAACACATGACACGTGGAAGTGTCCGAGGTGGACCCCAGTTGGAGTCCGAGATGGACCCGAAGTGGAGTCTGATATGGAGTCCGAAGTGGAGTCCGAGATGGAGTCCGATATGGAGTCCGAGATGGACCCGAAGTGGAGTCCGAGATGGAGTCCGATATGGAGTCCGAGATGGACCAGAAGTGGAGTCCGAGGTGGACCGAGACGGAGTTCGAGATGGACCCGAGATGGAGTCCGAGATGGAGTCCGAGATGGACCCGAAATGGAGTCCGAGATGGAGTCCGAGGTGGACCGAGACGGAGTCCAAGATGGACCCGAGATGGAGTCCGAGATGGACCAAGACGGAGTCCGAGATGGAGTCCAAGATGGAGTCCGAGATGGAGTCCGAGATGGACCGAGACGGAGTCCGAGATGGAGTCCGAGATGGACCGAGACGGAGTCCGAGATGGAGTCCGAGATGGAGTCCGAGAAGGACCCGAGATGGAGTCCGAGGTCGAGACCAAGACCGGGACCGAGACCGAGACCGAGACCGAGACCGAGACCGGGACCGAGACCGAGACCGAGGCCAAGGCTGAGACTGAGCCCAAGCCCGAGCCCGAGTCCGAGTCCGAGTCCGAGTCCGAGTCTGAGTCCGAGTCCGAGTCCGAGTCCGAGTCCGAGTCCGAGTCTGAGAGGGTGAAAGCCCAAAGCGTTCATCTCCCAGACCCTGGGGGGTTTGGTGAGCTCCAAAAGTATAGTAAGGGGGAGGACTGCAGTGGAGCCAGTTTGGCCAGGAAAGGCCAGTTTGGCCTAGGAAGGCCAGACCCAGTGTTGGGTGATGAACTGACCACTGGGAAGTCCAAGACTAGAGTGAATACAGACCGACAAGTGGGGTAGCGTGGTGAAGTGTTCAAGAGCCGGCTCTAGTTCCCCCGGGAGATCGACTGGCTGATGCTCCCAGTCCAAGTGTGGGTGGCACTACCTACTTGGATACTAGGCGTGGCTCAACGGAACCTCGCTCTAAGCCCATGGCTAGAGCACCTAAAGGTGGAAGGCGGGGAGAGTACCCACGGGGCTCGCGTAGGCCCACGGTGTTTCAAAATGTTGTCCCGGAGTCCCAAATGGAGAAAGGAGGAAAAGCAATCCTCTAGTGTGGTGACTAAGGATACAGTCACATGGTGAGGAAGTCCCAGAGGACCGTGGGACTTAGTGGTCGGGCCTGTGGGCCTCGATCCAGTGGCAGTGTTGGCAAACACGGCCAAGGGCAGAAAGGGACTTAGTGGGGATTGACAGAGGGATATTGGGGAAGGCTATTCCCCTTGTCGGTGGGCATCCTAAGGATGCTAAGGAGTGGATCTGAGATGACCACTCACGGATGGTTTGCCTAGTCTTGGAGAGCCAAGACTGTGATGCAAGTGGTAATGGACTACCAGTGTGGCAAAGGTGATTGGGCATGGCCTTAGCGTAACAAGCTGCCATGTCGGTGGTACCTTTGAGTGTCGGTCATGGGATCGGACACGTGGAGCACTGGGACCAAGTGCAAATGTTGAGTGGCATGGATGCCATTCTCGGGGCTAGCAAGTCCCAAGTCCTGAATTGGACTTATGGAGGTTGTGAATGAGACTCCTCCAAGTGGTCGGAGGTGTGGTTAAGTGACTAAAGTAGAAATGGAAAATTCAGTCGCTTACATTTTACTTGGCACAACATTATTGTAAACAACCAAAGAAAACAAAAGAGAAGAGAGATGATCCATAGGGTTCAAATATAAAAGGAAAGGGCCCATAAATAAGAGTGCACCCCATTTTTCAAATTGATTAAGGGTTTTGGGATACTTGTGGTTAAATGTCCTTAGGTTTGAATAGTACTAGGCTGGGCAACTTCCCGAGAAGTCCAAATTCAAAAGCTTACATTTGGTATTAAAGAGGTCTCAAGTCCGACTCTGTTTATTGGCTAAGAAAATCGCACTATATGTTAATTGACATCTGATAGGTTTAGTTTGCTCTAGTTGGGCTTGACTCGAGGGGTAGAGTGTCAAGAGAATGGGGCTCTCAAGAGAGTTGTGGCTTTCAACTTTTGTTCACGAGGGCATAAACTTGTAGGGAAACATGGTGGATTGTAAGCAACCAAAAAGAATAAAAGAGAACAACTTGAAAGAAGATCCATAAAGTTCAAATATAGAAGGAAAGGTAAATAAGAGTGCACCCCTTTTTTTTAATTGGTTAAGGGTTTTGAAATACTTGTGGTTAAGTTTCCTTGGGTTTGAATAGTACTAGGCTGGTGACATCCCAAGAAGTCCAAATTCAAAAGTTTACAATTATCAAATATCACCTCTTCCACTTCTTATTACATGTCATTCAACTCCACTTTCTATAAGAGATGATCTTGTTCCAATAGAGGTTGATACTACTACTATTTGAGTTCAAAAACAAGGGCAAGCATGTGGTTATGGCCATGATATCCATTGTTGAATATGTGATAAAGTTAGTCACACTTATCAGCATTGTTGGTGTTTTCCAAATTAGTAACTTTTATTTCTTGAGTGAAGACCTTAGCATCAACAACATTTTATTAGTATTGCTATAGTGGAAGGTTTGGACACCAAGATGCCTTTAGGAAATGAGAAGTCATATAAGTAACAAAGGGTCTTTGCATAAATAAGTCAATAACCTTTTTATCTTTCTTTCGGGAATATCATCAAGGGGTTCATTTGGCACTAGTTCATCCAGTGTTTACTTTCTAAGCTCGTTTTTATAACAAAAGCTTCTCTTTGTGGCAGTTGATATAGGCTCCTTGGTTTTACCTTGGAAAAATCCTTGTATTAGATCTTGAGTGTTTGTCAAGTTCTTCTCCGGTTCCCATGTTGTTTTGTAGAGTGGAAATCCTTTATACTTTACATGGAATTTATTCACCTCACATTGTTGTCACTTGTTCTTGCACACATTAAGGATGGCCTCGACTTCATATTTCTCGTCCCCTTGGATAACCTTAGGTAAAGATTTCATTTAGTCTTTGCGAAGTGGGTCTTCAAAGTATAATTTAAGTAAGTTCACGCGGAATACAAAGTTCATCTTCCCCATCTCTTAAGGAAGTCAAAGGTGGTAAACCACCTTACCAATTCGAGCTTCAATCTCATAGGGCCCCATAAACCTACTTAAAGAACTCAAGATCAAATAATCTCTAAAAAGATATTTTTTTACCTTTGGGTCAATTTCTAACTAAACACACTTGGTAACTTTATACACTATCCTCATATCCCCAAATTAAAATCAAGTTATAAATCAACAATAATATATTGGATATTAACTCTACCATTGGCACTACCCTTCTACCATTGAAAGTCTATTGAGCCATTGAAAGTCTTGTAGAACTTGGCATGGTTAAGTATTATGGAAAGTTATCCACAATAAAAGCATTTATGGTGAAAAAACTCAATATTTGGAATTTGGTAAGGGATTCCTTGAAACAGGCTCAATAAATGCAAACTAAATATGCAAACTAAAAGTGCCAAGACATAGAGTTTCAACTTGGGATGAAGGTGTGGCTAAATACCAAGAACTTATAAAGTGTCAATAGACATTTGATAGGTTTAATATCACTCCTTGTAGATCTCACCATCTAAAGTTTGACTACCATTATATTCTATAACACTAGAGAAGAACTAAAGAATATGGAATGGAGGAGGTGTCAATTGTTACATAAATATATCTAATGCCAAAGGTTAAGAAGGTTATTTTTTATGAGTTAATTTCTCATATCAATTGCACAATTCAAAGAATTAGTGCCAAAAACAATGGATGTTGCTCTAGAATGATTAGGAGTTGAGCTTAACATCTCACATTTATGTGCTTAGACTTGAATTCTTCAGCAATGCTATGTTTGTGGGGTTGTTGAGGTTATTATATGAGGTTGTCTAGGTTATTATATGGGGTTGTCAAAGTTGTTGTGTGGGGTTTGCTAGTCAAGCTAAATTTACTATTGTGGGGTTAATATTACTCATATAAGCTAGATCTATAGCTTAATTATCTTGAACCCAGATTCCATGTCAGAAGAGTGGCTAGTTGAGTAAAGTTATAGAGATTGAAAGTTTAAAAAGAGTAAATTTCATTCCTCAAATGTTGTTGTTGATACTACTATACCACCAATATCAATATTAAACTAACATACATAACTAGTTAGAAATGAGAAAGTTGTACAATATAGGTCTTTTATTTTGAAGGGTGTGCAAAATAAAATCAAGTTAGCAAAGGAGTTGAAGTGCATAATCATAAGGATAAATTATATTAATGTGATGGCTGAAAAGTTTGTTGTCGTGATTGAGTTATCAAATAATGCTAAATATACTATCTAAATCTATGAAAATCCATCATGTATCTGCCTAGATTTCACACAAAGAGAGAATAGGGGAAAGGTATATTTAACTTGCAAACACATTTATTACATTTTTATGCAAGATTTAAACCAAGATTCAGCTTCAAAAGTGTTTTTAGATTCCTTTTAGTGTTTAGATCTATATTTATATTTGTATTTTATTAGTTAAATTTATTTGAAAAAATAGATTAAATCAAAATTTGAAAGATGAAAAACTTTTACTTCCAAACAAACCAATGTTTTTCCAGTGTTTTAGAACTCAAAACATAATTGTGCTTGATTGATCCTAGAAGAGGAAAAAAAGTTACAAGCTCATCCCACTTGAAAACCACACACTAAGCTCACTACCTTCCCACAAGCTATATTGCTCACCCCATGCTGCTACCACCACCGCACAATCAACAATTGCACTTAGAAGTCAAATTCCTAAAAACTTGCTGCCACTTTGTTGGTTTTCACTGTTAGACTTGGTAAGATCAAGCTTTGAGATTCTTTCTATTATATGGAAATTTTATGGTCTCACTTGAAGCTTGCAAGAGAGTAGCTCACAGGCTCAATCGACACTCACCGATATGCTGATACAAACGAAGGTGGTTTTATTTCTCTTGAGTGAATTTGTAACCCAGCATGAAAGGCAAAGCTTTGCAAGCTTCAGGATGGAATTTTAGTTACCATGCTCAGGATGACTTGGATAGACAGCTGCTTCGTTTGAAGAGATTATCAAGTCTCTGGTGGTGGTGACTCCAGGCCTTTGGCTCAACTCCGTTCTTGCTAAATCCCCCCGTACCAAGCATGAATGGTGTGAAGAAACTGCTTGATCACTGAGAAGCAATTAGAATCTTGCATCATGCAGATCGTTTACACTGACTGTGAAGTGTGAGCACAAGAAATTCTTGGAAAAAGTCACAGCCTCTAAAGATGAGAATTCTTTTAGGGTTTAATGCAGTAGGCTCAGACACACAAGTGCAAGCGGAGAATGTTCGGGCCGCTGATTCGCGCGTGTAGGAGCATCTACCCAGCAAGCAGGAGCATCCACACAGCAAGCGCGAGTTGTAGGAGCATCTACCCAAGCATCCTCACAGCTGGCAGACCACAGACGGACGAGGCCTACAGAGAGTATGGAGACTTTATGTGGCTGGTGATGCTCCGCCTAGACAACCGAGTCCTCGGCCAAGTTTATCGGGCGCTAGGCGAAAGTGATGGCGCCACGGGCTGCTTCCAGGCGAATCTCCTAGACCAGACTCTCAAGTACACCGAAATCGTCAGCGGCGAATTCCCCCCTGTTAAGAAACCACTCGGGTTTGACGACATAGGCGACTACCCCATCCCATATACACACATGATCAAGCTCGTGGACGACGCCACGAAGAATGCAATCCGCTGCTGCCGTGGAGAGCCACCCATCCATCACCGCACACAGGAAGAAACTCGCCTCGTGTACGACTTTTGCCGGAATGTTGCCTGCCGAGCCGAGAAGGAAGTCTTCTCCGGTGAGCCAAACGTGCACGAGTTGCAGGAGCAGGCGCGTGCGTTTGCCGCCGAGTGCTATGCCGGCATCTTTGGTCTGCAGTCCACAAACCTCACCTCTCTTGTCGATGTGCGCTCTCGATCATTTGCTACACCTGTCGTTCCACGCACTTTCTTCTCCAGCGATCCCTTGGGGAAGTGTCTCAGGAGCCTCGAGTTGGCGCAGGAGGTGGCTGATGCCGGGGGACTGCCGGAGTTCCCTCATCATGGAGGTCTCGTCGCTCTCTACAACTTTGAAAAGAAACACGCTTACAAGCTGCTGCTAAACTGCCACAAGTACAAGAAAGGTATGGCTTCGATCCTGCCTGGAGTGTTTTACTTGTTTTCTTTCTGTGGCATGCAGGATATGACGAGCGCAAGCTCTTGTGGTCGTCTTTCGAGAACCAGCAGTTCTACACTGTGGATGTGCAAGTGCCCGGTAATTCATTTGCAGTTGTTGTTATCTTAATTTTTTTCTTGCGTACTGCTGTACAGGTCTCACGTCGCTGGATCAAGTGAGTGTTGTAAAAGATGGACAGGGCATGCGTGTTTCCACGGAGAAGGACGTGTTCCGCCCAGAGAGGCTTCCAGTTCCTCCTTACGCCGACGTCGACGGTGCAATACATAATCTCCAGGATGAGATTCTCACCATTCGCCTTCCCAAAGGGGCCTCTGCGCTCAAATGGACAGCTTCAACTGTGCCAATTGACGACCTCGACGAGACTGAGCTGAACAAGAGTATCGATCTTATGTTTTTCTTTTTTTGTTCTTTTTACCTCTACTAATTTCCTGTTTTTCTCTTCTTCTCTGCTGTAGCCAAGAGGCGATCCATCAGGGCAACTACAGCAGATGACGAGCATCACCACATTCTTCGTGTCGAAGTTCCAGGTATGTCTCTGAAAACTCTCGTGTTTTCTCAAGAGCTTCTGGCTTGTTGACCGTGCAGGCTTGTCGCGAGAGGAAGTGATTGTGGACTGTGCAGGGCCGGAACTCATCGTTAAGACCAGCGGCAACGTCTTCAAGCAAAAGAAGCTTAAGCTTCCCTCTAGTGCTGACTTGAAGCAGGCTAGAGCGTCTTTCCGGAACGGCTTGCTTACCATTCGCGTTCCCAAGAGTACAGAGCTACAGAGCTAGCTTTTTAGTAGTGCCTACTATTTATGTCTGTTCTCTTGTCACTTATAACAGAATGGTATTGTTATATAAAGAGTTTAATTTCTCCAGTAGTACTTTGATCACTTAAACAAATAGAATCTGGCCTTTTTACAAAAGTCAGAGTATCGAGCAGCAGGAATTTTCTATGTTAGAGAAAACAGCAAGGATTGATTTCTATTGGTACCATATGCCTTGCTCAAGTCAATTGAAGCCAAAAATCAAAACTTAGTAACTTGATCAATTAACAATGTTAGCATTTTTCTTCTCCTAAATGGCTTGCTAATGCAACAAATTTCCTTTTGTAGCCAACAGAGTATTCACAAAATAATAAGCATTATTTATATAAAATATATAATCTATATAAATAGGGTATGTTAATTAGGGTTTAAACCATTACTTATATACAAAAATGGAAAGACTAGATTCAGTCCAAAATTGACAGTCCATATTATTATAATACTATAATTAACATATTACCATATATAGACACACACACACATCCTTTTAGATAAGAGGATGGTGTAATGTTTGTAAATAGATATACATAGATATACATATACATATACATACATATATATATACATACATATATATATATATATATATATGTATATATATGTATATCTATTTACAAACATTACACCATCCTCTTATCTAAAAGATGAAAAAGTTGATGATGATAAGTCAAATGGAACATCTAAAACTTCTACTAAACAATTATAAATTTTCACAAGAACATGAGTCAATTACAAAATTTAAATGAACCAATTGCAACTCCATATATAATTGCCAAATATTTGAACCAACCTTGAAATTATAATTATGAATTAAAACAAGCCACTATAGTTTATAAAGCACCATTGGAGTAAACAATACCTCTCATCTTTAAGTTTGCCTACTGACAATCCTCCAAAACCATTATTAACTCAAACTTATGACCATAAGTAGAACTGCTTTTACATCTTCCCTTTGATCAACATTTAAAACCTATGTTAATTCGGACTCATGACTTTTGTTTTCATTCAACACCACATATACGAAGTCAAATTCACTATGTTCATCCTCAAAATCTTTTTTATCCCCTTGAAGGAAAAAAAGTTTTGAAACACTGGCTTCATTTGAACTTATCATGTTCATCTTCATTCCACCACCTATGTTCAGCTTCACTTCACTATCACATTTGTTTAGCCTCATTATGTTGAGGTTAGATGTTCCATTTGAATTTACTATATTCATCCTCACTCCATAATTCATATAATTTATCTTTATTCCACTATTGTATCCACTCATCTTCACTTTATTATTATCCATCCATCCCCCCCTCCTTCGAAGGTTTTTTTTTTTTAAAACATCAAAGTAAAGAGGAGAAAATAAAAAAAAATTGAGGAAGAAGAAAAAAGTGAGCTTGATTCAAAGGTGATTGATTTAGCCACTGAAGTTTATGAGATTTTGGTGGTATATAAATGAAATTTGTAAATATCTCAAGATAAAATGGAGAAGTTTGCAAATAAGTATTGTTAATTTCAAGAATATAAAGTGGGAGATTTTGTTTTCGTGTGAGCAACTTGTCCATTAAGTGAATGGTTTGTGCTTTTATGAAGTGGGAAAAGTGATAAAATTTCTTATAGATAAACTAGTCTATATGAAGTGTTAGAGTGCATTGGTAAGGTGGTTTATTGAATGCAATTACCAATTGGGATGAAAATTCATTTGGTATTTTTATATTAGCCAATTAAAAAGTGTACTACCTCGGAATGAAGGGTTTAATGCTTCTTTAATATATACAGTTATGGAGGATGGACTAAGAGTTTAAGTAAAGTTCCCCAAAAAGGGTGATCATTAGTACAACTTATCCTTGGACAAGGACATTGTTAGGGTGGAAGAATTGTTAGGTACTAACTTTGACTGTATAGTCAATATAGGTTAAAGGGAAGTTTAAGGGTATAATGTAAGGAACTAAATCTACTTTTAAAGCTTGTGTTTATAAGCCATAAATTTTTCCTTTCCAATTTACTAGTTTATCTTGTCTATCTGACCACTACGGCTTTAGCCTTAGTTAAATTCCCTTGTTAAGGTTTCTACTTATTGTATTAGCTCCTACTTGGTCCTACATGGTTTTAACAATACACTGCATGAACAACAAAGTGTTAACCATCCATCCATAGATTGGTATCGAAGTTATTTTTCAATTTGACTCTTATTGGTAGTTAAATATATTACCACTTGATGTTATCATCGAAAGGTCCTAAGAGTGGGTCTTCTTCAAAGATTAGCATCTCAAGAGGGAATGACTTTTCACCTTAGTTCATATATGAACATGTTAACAATGTGGTGAATAGAAAGGGGCTAATAAGGGAATGACTTTGGGATTTTAAAAATAGTATAAAGTTTTCTTTAGAGAGTTAAGGTGTACTTCATAAAAGCATTTAACTTAATAAATTAGATATTATGGTTATAGTAAACAACTATAGTTAGGATCACGTCCTAGACAATAAAGGATTCATAAGATTATCCTTATATAATTAAGGATGGTGTTTAAGAATTTGAAATTGGAGTTAATAATTGTAGGAGGTCAAATGTGGATAAGGACAAAGGTCTTTGAAATGGTAGTTTATTTTCTTAATAGATGCCTGAGGATGATCTTTATTTTATAGGGATGGATCTTAATGATCATTTATAGTTGGTGGTGTTTTCAATTTTTATTCCATACTTTCTCCATACCTACCATGATTTTTGTATT